CAGACATATTCAAAACAAGTTGTAAATCCTGTGTGCTGTTCTAACAATGGTTTTGACCACACACATACTTTAGCTTCATTTTCACAGATTTAGAGAAGATACAAAAATATGGGAAAGCCAGAGAATCAAGGGCTAAAAAGTGTTACACATCCAACATGTACTTGAGACCTGATGTCACGACAGCACAATAGCTGTGAGTTACGGGTCAATGTCATATCTAGAACCATATACAAGTAGTGTGTTTATCATCCTTGACAAGTCTCAGCACAATACAAACTGTCAGGTCCTAGTTAGCAACAGATGTATCATGACAGAGCCAACTTATCCCTTGGGTTCAGTAGGTTAATCAGAGCACCATGATCCCGACACAGAATAACTTCGTAATACCATTTAAGATCAAGGTAAAAATATCTTCAGCAAGTCATAAAGATGAAGATGATATGATGAAGTGGTCAGGCTTGCTGACTTGTTGGATGGATGTCATCATATCCGAATGAGATCGATATCGATCACTTGATTGTCTAGTCAAGCTAGACTTCATTTGTAACAGACCACTATCAAAGAGCTGGGATATTGCAAAAACATTGTTAAACAATACACCTTTTCATAAATCCCCAATCTACACATCAGAACAATCACCATCACAAAGTGTGCTCTCAGGCATATACATTGATACAACAAAAGTGGCACATTTTCTGGTCATCAGTTGTGACGGATAATTAAATTGATCTTAATGAAAAAGTCGCAAAAGTGAGTGAGTATGGTATTACGCCGCTTTTAGCAATATTCCAGCAATATCACGGCAGGGGGACACCAGAAATGGGCTTCACACATTGTACCCAAGAAAGTTGAAAAAACACTAGAGACATAAACTGTACTTTTTACCCATCAATCGCCAAAAACAGGCTGTAACCTCGTCCATGGTTTAACCCATCCTTGGTACATTGTCATGATTAGTCACTTCCCAGGCTATAACATGCAGTATACCACATGCAATAATCACATATCATTCAGAGAAAGAATGAGATATTATTTATAAATGACTACGAATAAGTGCCTGGTTAATATGGAAATTTTCTATGATCAAGCTATTTGGTTCTATGGAAGATGTAAATGGCAAGCTAGGAATTCATCTAAAATCCCATCCCTAACAATAGGATGAGTACTTCTCATATCACATTAGGGCCATGCATCCTTCCAACTATATACTATGTTGCACAGATGCTTCAGTCTTTCTGACCTAATTGATTTAATGTCTGATGCACAAGGTGCAGTAACTGTTTGCCTGACAGGAGAGTATAAAAGGGAGATTTCTTCAGTCTGAAGTACCTAACAGATTCTCCCAGATAATGTTAGACTGCATCGCTAAATTGGGTACAGGCCAGTCAAAACAAACGTGTGCTACAATAGTGGTTTGTTTGTTTATAACACAGCACTCAGCAATATTCCAGCTATATGATGGGACTGTATATAATCTGGACCAGATTTTACAGTGACTGTCATCTTGAGGTTCGATTTATGACGTTGGATTTGTATGCCATATTGGGTTATCCACTTAGACCAAACCTTTAAATCTATCAACAGAGAACCACTGAATGGAATAACAGAGATGCCAACCCTATTTTGGGCCTAAGTGTAATACTGGAGGTGAAAAAGTGTAATTTGGACCTAAAAAGTGTAATACTTAAAACACTTACTTAGTGAAAGGTGATAACTTTATGAAAATTACTTTTAAAAAAGGTTTATTCACATGAATAGGAAAGATTCTAGACAGAAATACATGCGACCAATCATTATGAACTTCCATACACCGAAAATTGTTGGTCATGTGACACAAAATACTTTAATTCCTTACAATTTAATTGGAATGAGCGCGATGCTAAGAGTAAGCGATTCCTATCAGTGTAAGGCCATTTCTGAACCCCTGCACTAGTGCGTTACGAGAAACATTCCCTGTGAAATTTTATCCACTTTATTGATTTTCGCAAAACGAGTAGAAAAGCGTAATTTTCGCAGATTAAGTGTAATGGCGTAATTTAATGGTCAAAATCGTAATAATTACACCCAAAGCGTAAGGGTTGGCATCTCTGGAATAAGCACACCTGATACTTACCAGGGTTTATCCAGGTTTTCCAAGTGCAGTGTAAGAAATAAGCCAAAACCCCTGACATCAGGGTTGGTAACTTCAAAATGTTACCAGCCCAAAATGGATTTAACCAGACCAGACACCAAGATATGGTGAATTTACTCAGATGTATATAACATCTCACTGTTTTACGAGACCATCAGGCTGGCTAGCTGTAAATTTAGACCTTCCGTCCAAAATCTAGCCTGTTTCGGGTGGTCAGACAAGCCTTATTTAATACACTGCAAAGTGCCCTTGGCAGGCAAACAGGGAAGAATTATTTTGTTCTAAATCAGGAATATATATATATAAACTACTTCTTTCAACATTGCTTTGAAACAGCATTCGATACAATAATGTAAAACGAAGCTTTTTCTTGGTCTTGCTTATAGCGGAATACAAATCAGCTTGATGGCCATTACATTAAGTATAAATATACTGGCATAAAACACAACCTTTTTTAATTCCCATATGGGAATTTGTACTGACAATTGCCTCAGACTTGGACCAAATTAATCGCCCACTGAGTCAGTCTAGATAAATCCCTGCAGATGTTACCAGCTGCACAACCTGAATCTGGGTGATCGAGTTCCAGATACAATATGGTACACATCTTAACATATTTATGTCACATTTTGGGTGGGTATTTAGCTACCCTTAACATAAGTTACTGTTACCCATGCGCATAGTGTTTAAATGTCAATCAAATATCAGGCCTAAATTATTTATTTTGTGGTTCCGATTACCCGACCGACCCTAGAATTCTGGTGCCGACCCTATTTTTTTTAAGCGGTATGAATGAAATAAGCTTACCATTGTTTTTTCCCCCCACCGACTGACATCGGTCATTCTGATAGAGAAAGTCGACATGATGGCCTAAACGTTGACTGCATGAACAATTATACATTGATAAATGTGTTACTAGCTTGTACTTTACTTCTAAAAAAATGTAATTTTTTATAAAAATCCTACCTACCTATCCTAAGTTTTAAATTTTTGGGGGCATATTAGGTGAAATCAGATACAACATTAAAATCGGACCCGATCCACAACACGTTTGTAGCTACATTTTTATACATGATAAACTATAGAGTTACGACTGGCGGAAACGTTATGAACACTTTGTGGATCAGGACCCAGATCTGTTACTTCAATACATTACCCCCCTACACTGCTCCAAGCAAATGTGTCTGCTCCATGGATTCATGGTTTCTTAAACCAAGTGGATATTAGGTTTTTTTTAAACCATTGAACTTCATATATTTACCACCATAATACACAAACTTTTACCCGTGAAGATCCGGGTTAGAATTTGTCTTCAGTAACCCATGCTTGTCGCAAGAGGCGACTAATGGGATCGGGTGGTCAGGCTCGCTGACTTGGTTGACACATGTCATTGTATCCCAATTGCGTAGATCGATGCTCATGCTGTTGATCCCTGGATTGTGTGGTCCAGACTTGATTATTTACAGACCGCCGCCATATAGCTGGAATATTGCTGAGTGTGGCGTTGAACTCAACTCTTACGACAAGCATAGTCGCCTTTTGTGGCAAGCATGGGTTGCTGAAGACCTATTCTACCCTGGATCTTCACGGGTCGCATCAAACTTGACCTTTTAGCATGAGGAATGAATGTTTTCCCCACAATGCATATGGTCAGTTGCTGTAGGTAACTGTATACGATGGAGGGATACAAAGCTGCACCCGCTCTCTCGGGGAGTTTCGCCTCGTAACATTGACTGTTCAAATGTTGTTGAGATAACCCTAACATATGCAGATTCAATCAAAGACGTAAAATAATGCCCCATTGCAACTTGTGCTATTTGTTTAAGCAGGCTGTAGGAGGCTGCCAAAATATGTCTGCTTCCGTGATGTTCATGTAATGTGTAGAGCAAACAAGATTCCGAGGGTAAGAAGTTAAGAGTCGGTCTCCTGCTGAGGGTCAAGCCCTGCTGGGTTGCCTTGTTTTAAATCCATTTCAGTTAGTGAGTAAATTGGGTTTAATACTGTTTTGAAATGAGTCATTTAATGTAATGTATTTTGATGCGAATGTGTTTATCTTGCTTAGAACATTTGGACATGTCATAGTGTGTAACAGGGAAAGTGAGTGAGTGAGTTTAGTTTTACGCTGCACTCAGCAATATTCCAGCTATATGGCGGCAACCTTTCAGAATGTCTCACTAGACCACAGGACCAGTGAGTGGTCAATAATTAGTGGTCCTGTCTGTACTTCACTGGTCCAAAATAACATGATGAATTTTTAATAACCAGCGACCTCAGGACCAGTGTAAATTTGATCGAATGTGTGATTAAGTGAGTGAGTGAGTGTGTGAGAGTATGTGAGTGAGAGTGTGTGATGCAATGTTGACCAGCATTTCAGCTGTACTTGAGTGTGTCAATTTGAAGCCATAGGTGTCATGCCGGTCTTAAGACATTTACCACCTTGGCAAAACACATGGACACAGGTTTGGTGGTGCCAACAAACATTATCAAACCAAACTGGGATTCCGAACTCACAATCTCGTGGTTCTGAAGTCCCAAAGGGAGGCAACTCTGAACAGCAAATTGTAGTGCCTTAAACGACTTTGCCATCATGCCCTTTATGAGGAGAAAGTCAATTAATCACTTGACGATAGGCAGAATAATTCTAGATGATTAGTTTCAGCAAGTAGTAGCAGCAGACAGCGGGAAGGGCAACAAGCCAGGAATCCTGGAATAGTTACGACTCGGCATTTGTTCAATCCCTCACATTTGCTGCTCAGTGAAGCCAATAAACTAAACATTCCCGCAGTACTTCCCTGACCTGCATCCCACATGATATGATGCAATATGATGCTGCACTCAATGGCTTACAAACTTCGACCTATTCGGTAAATGACATCAAAGTTTGTATCCAAACTGCATCATTGCACTGCAATTAAATTGATAGTTATGTTTATCGTGACTGAATTCAGCATATCTTTATCTTATCTTTCGTTGAGTCAAACATCCTGTATTCAAACATGAAACCTCTGTGGGGATCTTGGTTCATATCAGTCACCAGCGGCTATCAGACGCTATGAGTGCAGCATTGAACAATTAGCAGACTAGAATTGTCTCATTGCGAGGAAGACACGTGCCTGTTCGTATTAACCATTCTGGAGTGAAAAGGTTGAAGAAATCATTCACTCAGTTTTAAATGCAGCTGGTGATTGAGGGAATGGACTAGTTTGGTTCTTTATTGCTTATTTCAATCAGCAGAGAAAATATTTAAAACTTTACAATTTCCAAAACAAATCACAACATTTTGAAAAGAACATTAACTTAGTTGTCATTTTTGTAAAAGCTAACAGTAACCAATCAATATCGTAAGTCCAAACAGACACACAGATTTGTTAACCTTTTATGAAGCCCAAAGTTTGCTACAAATGACAGTAAAACTTTTTAAAAATATTTCCCAGTTCCTAATAATTTAACAAAATAAGATTATAAAAAAATCCTGTGTTGAACAAAATTCATCATTTTCCGAACTGCTTGCCACAGCCACTTAGAATCCTAGATAGATTGCTGAGACATCCCCCCAAAGAGCTTCTTACAGACTTCATCTCACTTCATCACATGAAACAAAGCCTTATGACCATTCCATCCTTCTAATACTCCCCAGGCATTACGCTTCCTATCTTACAGCTTCAACTCTGACCTATCTGTGCATGTAGATTCATGCTGGCAACACAAGGGAGGGATGAATCACATTCGCTTGGTGCTGTGTGTTACCCTTGCCAAAATATCTGGCTACATGATAGTAAGTTTGGGCTCTATTTCTGTGGGGAGATATTGATGTGTATATGAGAATTTTACCTCCAAATGTGCCCATCAAGAGCATCGCTTATCATTTTCAGCATGGTTTGGGGAAAACTTTCCTGGTTTCAGGTTCCAGTTAACTTAATCAGCAAAGAAAATCTACACGATGTATGCAATATACTGCAATGTTGAACTTTTTATAGCAATATTGGAAGATTACAAAATGCTTGTGAACACTAAGGCCACAGAAAAATATTTTTTCTTGTTTCTCATTACCACCGCCCCTAAAATTTTCATTTCATTTTTTGCATTGGTAAATTTGCTTGTGCAAAGCCAGCAGACTTCCAAAATCCGTCTCAGCTTCTGGCATTCCAAGTTTTCGAGGAATATTGTATAGAAAATCAGAAAAAAAACCATATTAAAAATAAATCTGCCCCACCTACCCATTCTTTTTTTTTTTAAAATTGATGAGATTCAAGAAAATTTATTTTGTGTGGCCTAATTGACATCAATGTCAACGACATACTTCAATGAATATCAAACAATCACAATCAGGGACACACATGAACAGTGAGTGAGTGAGTGAGTGAGCGAGCGAACGAGCGAGCGAGCATGGCTTTACGCCGCTTTTTTTACGCCGCAATTTTCCAGCAATATCACGGCGCGGGACACCAGAAATGGGCTTCACACACTGTACCCATGTGGGGAATCGAACCCGGGTCTTTGGCGTGACGAGCCAACGCTGAACCACTAGGCTACCCTACCACACTACATGAACAGAGAACATCTACTAGTCTAACATAGTGATAACATTCACCAGTACCGCCATAATGTTTGAATGCCAATGTTAGGATGGCTTTCACATTCATAAATCCCATGCACAAAACTGATAGAAATGTCCAAACAAAATGTTTAACAACAAAACCTGTAATGATATAATAAATATTTGCTCATGATGTCAATCACTGGATTGTCTAATGCAACACTGATTACAAGAAGCATAACTAATGAAAAAAATACACTTTCTGTGAGTTACATTCAATAAACATCCTTCATTGGGGCAAAAAACATATTGTCAATAACTAGTGGTGGTCTGATTAATTGAAATAATCGAAGGCTGTCGCAGTGACTAAACGACCAAGCAATTGATCATGTTTTCTCACAGTCGAAAACAAACAATTTTAGAACACTTGTTTGCATTAACAATATTTTTCACAAGGTTGGTTTTGTCTGTGTCATTAAATATATATTTCATAAGCACTATGAGCTCATTCCAAGTCATGATTGAATTTATCTTAAAGACTCCAGGAAATTTATGTTCCTAACATACTAGTAATCCTTTAAAGATGCGAAATTTGCAAATACATTTTGTGCAATTTGCGAAAAAAAAACCCAAAAAACCTTTGTCCATTAACAAAGATAACAGGAACATTTGATAGATGACGCTAACAAATTATTTTTGATGATTGGTTGTAATGAACCAATCATCAATTATGAGATTTGAACCAATTCCCAACACAATCAAAAACTGGTTGCTGGAGATTAACAGCACAGGTGACTCACACATGGTGTACAGCATCTCCCTTCCCTCCCATCTTTCAACAGTTGATGACAGCCTCACTGCCTTGAGCAGGTCACCCAAACATGTCTATTTCTGACAAGCCTTTCTAATCAATATGTCTAATTAGGCATCCTACTACATGGACAATGGTCAGCCATGGACCCAACATGGCGAAATAGGTCGCTTCAAAGAAGATGAGAGTGCTGTTGTTGCATGGACAATGAGACCAAATGGTGCTGTAATTTCAAATCTGTGAAATATTCGGGTCAGACAATGATTACCATGACCTTATTCTCGGCAAAGTATAACATTCAATAGTATTTTTATTTCAGATTTGAAATTTCTGGTAGTCCTTTACAGATGAAAGAATCGTTGTATAAGGCAAGTTTTCAAGACAGAAGCCATGTGTCAATTCTCCAATCCTGTAAATGGTCATGGTGACCCAATTGCTACACTAACGCTTAGTTCCTGAATATATATAATATTGATAGTAACAAATAACCCATATATACTGAACCGGGGGAAATTTAGACTTCATTGAGGGCTTTAGCATTGCAGGGAGGGCAAGGCAGTAGGGAAAATAATGTGGTTCAATGACTGCGACAGACTACCCAATTATAACTACTGAGTGTCAAGTTGACCCAAATTTCTTAGTGAAATCATACCGATTTATTAAACCCTCAGAGATGCAATATATTTTGCTGAGTGTGTTTAAGTGTCCAAGCGAAAGAGCTGGGTTTAGTGGTGCTTTAATCAAACAGTGTATCAGTTACATCATGTTGTGTCAGCTTCACTAGGAAGGAAAGCCGGAAGTGATGGTGGTTATCACTCTTGTAAAACCCGCAGGAAGAGTATGGTACTGACCAATAAAAAATCATGGCCAGGACAAATATGGCATTCAAACCTATGACCATAGGAATCTGATGCCCGAGGACACAACTCAGAAAATTACTGTACCGTGCCAAATGTATCATACTTAAAGGCAATGTATTCAGCCTTTCTGTTATAGAGTTTACACAGGACTTGCTCACTGACTTGGTTGACACATGTTTTAAAACCACTGAACTTCATATATTTACCACCATAATACACAAACTTCTCCGTGAAGATGCGGGTTAGAATTGGTCTTCAGTAACCCATGCTTGTCGTAAGAGGCGACTAATGGGATTGGGTGGTCAGGCTCGCTGACTTGGTTGACACATGTCAACGGTTCCCAAAAGTGTAGATAGATGTTCATGCTGTTGATCACTGGATTGTCTGGTCCAGACATGTTTATTTATAGACCGCTGCCATATAGCTGGAATATTGCGGAGTGTGGCGTAAAACTAAACTCACTAATATATATGTAGGACTTAACAGTTCAAGAGCTGTCGGTCCTTGTGTCTAGTAAAACATATTGTGATACTTTTGAGTGCTGACCTTGTATGCTTAAGTGACCTATCAGCATTCTGTTGGCTGTGATGCTGGGAATGTATTCAAAAATACTAATGTAAAATGTAAGTGAAATCACACACAGGGATTTCAGTTCAAAAAATATACACCAGTCTGATGGCACCATTATTTGCCGCTTGGCTTTCATTTGGATAGAATCAGATCTATACTATTTACACTTTGCTAAGGATCAAATCATTGATTCAACAGAAAACTATGATATGGGGTCTAATTTGGTTTAAATATCTAAACTTATTGTAAGCATGGATCCTAGATTTCAGTATGTCACTGCATCTTGTGGATCCCATACCTGCTATTGACAGGTGTTGTGTATTTGTCTATGACTCGTTCCATGATTTGCAAAATGGTTGATTGGTGCCATGAAAACCATTTTTATGGGTTACTCATGCATCTAGTGCATAAGGTTAGATTAAAGTGGCTGTTTTCCTAAAGATGTGTTACCATATCATTATTTATCCTGTTTTAAATGGATACAATTTCAAATCATAAATCAATGTTTAAGTAAAATTGGTAACTTTTGTGATCCTTAGCAAAGTGTGAGTAGTATATATTAATTCAAAACTTCTTGTAGGCCACACATAGTATTATCTAGACTAACCCTTAGTCCCTGAATATATATAATTTTGATAGTAACAAATATACCCATTTAAATTGAAAAGGAGTGGGTTTAGTTTTACGCCGCACTCAGCAACATCCCAGCTATATGGCAGGAAATTGAAAAGGAGCCCCAGTAAGTTGGGAGATTCAGGAGGAAATCTAGACTTGCTTCATTTAGGGCTTTAGCATTGTAGGGTGTGTTTAAGTGTCCAAGTGAAAGAGCTGGGTTTAGTGGTGTTTCAATCGAGCAGTATATCAGTTACATCATGTTGTGTCAGCTTCACTAGGAAGGAAAGCCAGAAATGATGGTGTTTATCACTCTTGTAAAACCCGCAGGAAGAGTATGGTACTGACCAATAAAAAATCATGGCCAGGACAAATATGGCATTCAAACCTATGACCATAGGAATCTGATGCCCGAGGACACAACTCAGAAAATTACTGTACCCGTGCCAAATGTATCATACTTAAAGGCAATGTATTCAGCCTTTCTGTTATAGAGTTTACACAGGACTTGCTCACTGACTTGGTTGACACATGTTTTAAAACCACTGAACTTCATATATTTACCACCATAATACACAAACTTCTCCGTGAAAATGCGGGTTAGAATTTGTCTTCAGTAACCTATGCTTGTCGTAAGAGGCGACTAATGGGATTGGGTGGTCAGGCTCGCTGACTTGGTTGACACATGTCAACGGTTCCCAAAAGTGTAGATAGATGTTCATGCTGTTGATCACTGGATTGTCTGGTCCAGACATGTTTATTTACAGACTGCAGCCATATAGCTGGAATATTGCGGAGTGTGGCGTAAAACGTAACTCACTAATATATATGTAGGACTTAACAGTTCAAGAGCTGTCGGTCCTTGTGTCTAGTAAAACATATTGTGATATTTTGAGTGCTGACCTTGGATGCTTGAGTGACCTAACAGCATGACATTCTGTTGGCTGTGATGCTGGGAATGTATTCGAAAATACTAATGTAAAATGTAAGTGAAATCACACACAGGGATTTCAGTTC